TACAAAAAGTTACAAACACTTTGTGTATAATATCACACATGCATTGAGTATTGATAATACTGGTATTACTTTTTCCACAGCTTAGCAATGGGATGGACAAAAAGCACTCTGAGATTATGGGATATGGGTAATTATTTTGCACCAAACTATTTTATTAAACCTTTGATTAATCTGTCAGACAAAAAGTAGACATGTATACCCTGCTTGTAGTTTGTTTCTGCTATATTTGATCCATACTACAGATTGTCTCATGTTGGATAACCACACATCTTGTTTTCTGTTTCCTGCCCAGAAGTGATTGTCATTATTGAATCATTTGTATGTTAAAGTAGGTCAATTTTGTTTTCCTCTTCTCTCAAATCATCATTTCTAGACAGTTGTGTTTCTGGTTTTTCATAACAATCACAAATACGCAAAGATAATTTCAGCCTCAATGTTGCTCATCATGAAAATAATTTTATGCTTTTGGAGATCCAGATTTTTCACTGCAGGGCAGCTCTGTAGAGCTAATCTTTTCAAAATAAAGTAAGCATGAAAATGAAGACTCTACATAACAATCACAAGACAGCCAGATGGCATATTTCCAACTGGGAGACATTTGACCTTAAATATTGGAGACATGACAAAATGTTCTGTGTCTGTTATCAGAAGCTATAAACCAATTCTGGACAACCATTTGTAGAAAGTGATGTCAATATATATCATTCCAGTGAGACTATATAACCAGGAAATTACATAAAACGTGATATGAAATCAAAATGTATGTATTTTTTTATTTATTTGTCTATTTATTTTTCACTTCTCCCGCAGATAGATATTCTGGGTGGTATACAATAAAATGTTAAAATATAAAACAACATATATAAAAGTTAACAATCTAAAAAAAAGTTAAGAGAAGGCAAGAGATTAAAATTAATTAAAAAGTGAAGGAGAGGTCTTTTCAGGAGACTAACCAACTTTTTCGGAAGGCTAGGAGAGTGGGGGCCTGCTTCATCTCCATGGGAAGAATATTCCATAGGGCAGGGGGAACAGCAGAGAAGGCTCTCTCCTAGACCCTATCAGTCGGAATTCTTTAAGTGACAAAGTCTGTAACATACATTCCTTGCCTGACCAGGTAGGACAGGCTGATGCAAAGGAACAAAGACAGTTCTGTAGCTAGCCTGGCCCCATGCCATGTAAGGCTTTATAGGGCACAACCAACACTTTGAATTGGACCCAGAATCAAACCGACCTCCAATGCAGCTCACAGAGCAGAAATGTTGTATGTGTGTGTGTGACTGCCTAAAATAGCCCACGCAGGCTGCATTTTGTACCAGCTGAAACTTCTGGATACTTTTCAGAGGTAGCCCCATGTAGATTACATTGCAATAATCCAAACAGGAGATGACCACAATATAAGGGACTGAGTGGAGAGCCTCCCTATCCAAGAAAGGGTGTAACTGGCACACAACACAAAGGCTCTTCTAGCCACAGCTGTCACCTGCTCTTTGAGGAAGAATCATGAGCCCAGGACCCCCACGTTTCACACTGGGTCTGTCTGGAGTAGTGCAGCCCCATCTAAGACCAAAGATGATAAATTCCTGGATACAGAGGGGACCATCCACAGCTACACCATTTTACCAGGATTCAGCTAAAGTCTGTTGTTCCCCATCCAGGCCCCCGCAGCCTCCAGGCACCACAAAAGGATGTCCACTGCATCACTCACTTCACCTGGCATGGAAATATATATTAGTGTATGGATGATACCTCATCTTGCAGTGATAGACGATCTCACTCAGCAATTTCATGTGATATTAGAAAGGAGCAAAGAGAGATTGGAGCCTTGTGGCACCCTAGAAAGCAGGGGTCTAGACTCTAGAGCTGGACTCCCTATCAACACTGATTGGGACTGACCTCAGAGGAAAGAAGTGAACTATTCACTCCCAACTCTTTCCAAAAGGAAGACGTATATTTCTTCCCAAAAGGATACTATGGTTGATGGTATCAAAAGCTGCTGTGAGGTCAAGAAGTTCAAGGATGGATGCACCACCCCTATCCGATCAGAGATAATCCATGGATGAAACCAATGCCATTTTGGTACTACAGGATCAAACCGTTCCCAGATAACTGGGTAAGTCTGCTTACTTAGCATCTCCAAAGGACTTGTATCACATTTGGTATCCAACTGGGAATGAATGAAAATTCCTCTTCATGATCCTATAGATAGGCCTCTTGGTCAACTTGGGGATGGGGGCAGGATCTGTTCAGTACTCGCTCATAGCACAGATGGAGTCCTTGACTTACCACTGTTATAAATCAAGGACTATAACTACAAGTAATCCTTGACTAAACTGTTTGTTTAACAATGATTCAAAGTAACAAGGGCCTTGGAAAAAGTGATTTACGACCTGTCCGAAGTTTTGACCATTGCATTGACCCCACAGCCACCTAATTGCAATTTGTGTACTTGGCAAAGGGCTAACATTTACAATGGGTTGCAGTGTGTAGTGGTCAACAATCACAATTTGCAACTTTCCCAGCTGATCCCCAAACAGCGATGTCAATTGGGAAAGCTAGATTTGCTTAATGACTGGGGTAAAAATGGCAATTAAAATGGTCATAAAATCATGTCTGATCATGTGATGTCTTGCATACTAACTACATCAGGTAGTCTAACAAAGGAGTATCCCATATTTGCTCAGCTTTATACTGTCAGAAAGTGCCTTTGGATTTTTTTTCCTGCATTGCGGGTATGTGATTAACATTCTGGAACTCAATCATGGTAGACCTACCCACAATGGAGAAGTCAATGTGGTGGGCAGGACCATGGATTGAAGTCCTGTCCTTTCATATGTGCACATGAACCCGGGTTATCAGATGATTTGCTGGGGCATTTTTATTCTCTTTCAATACAGCTGAATCCATTTAAATTTAATGGATAGATAGTATGTTTCATGGGAACTTTGAACTTCTTTAATAGCTGCTTTTAATTTTAAGTTAATTTAATTAATTTTAAACAATTTATTTTAATTAATGCTTATGCATTTTACTGTTTCATTAAAATGTCTATCTATGCCTTTAACATTAAGCTGACTTGGAAACACCTGTTTTTTAAGGCATAGAAATGAATAAGGCAAATACCTCTCTCCATAAAGCAATATAAAGACAAAAAGCCAATACAATCCTAGGCTTCATTAATAGTGGGATAGACTCAAGATCATGTGAAATATTATTACTACATTACAAAGCCTTAGTATGCCCACACTTAGAATACTGCATCCGGTTTGGTGACCACAATATAAAAAAGATGTTGAGACTCTGGAAAGAGTACAGAGGAGAGCAACAAAGTTGATTAAGGGGCTTGAGACTAAAACATATGAAGAACAGTTGCAAGAATTGGATAGGTCTAGTGTAGTGAAAAGAAGGACTAGGGGAGATATGACAGCAGTGTTCCAATATTTGAGGGGCTGCCACAAAGATGAGGTGGGCGAACTATTTTCCAAAGCACCAGAAGGCCAGACAAGAAGCAATGGATGGAAACCAATCAAGGACAGAAGCAACCTAGAACTGAGGAGAAATTTCCTAATTGTGAGACCAACCAACCAGTGGCATGGTTTGATTTCAGAAGTTGTGGGTGCTGGAGGCTTCCAGGAAGAGATGGACAGCCATTTGTTTTAAATGGTAGAGACTCTCGTGCTCCAGTAGGGGGTTGGACTAGATGACCTCCAAGGTCCCTTCCAACTGTTAATCTATATATTGTTCTTCTGCCATTTCATAAACACAGCCAAGGATATGGCACATAGACAGTCTGCATCCCACCCCCCCAGGAAACTTAAGAGGACTTTACTAGCAGTCTCCCATGAGCTGTAGCCCCACGTAGCTACAACACTGTGTTCGCCCACAATAGATGCAAGGATTGTTTATGCACAAAATTGGAAAGCGGAGAAAATACCTTTGGAAGAAGAAGTAATAACAAAAATCTTAAGATTGTGCAGAAATGAATAGATTAACTTTGATGATTAAGGATAGAGAAGACTCAGAATATTTTAAAATATGGAATGATTTTTATTATTGGTTTGGAGAAGAGATACAAATGATTAATTTTATAAATATGTATGTGATGAGTAGAATATTATGTTAGTGATGAATTGATATTATGGACTGGATAAAAGGATCAAGATAGAAGAAATGACCACTATACAGAAGAAGAAGGAACTTTGGAAGATAACAGCGAGATGTCACAGGGAAGAGATAACTGATGTATTATAAATGTTTGTCTAAAAAATAAAAAAACTTTTTTAAAAAAAAAAAAGATACAAAATTAAAGTGAACCGCTCCAAACTCAATTGCAGAAAATATGACTTCAGCAACAGAGTGGTCAGTGCCTGGAATGCAGTACCTGACTGTAGTTCAGTGTTTCTCAACCTTGGTAGCTTGAAGATGGGTGGACTTCAACTCCCAGAATCCCCCCAGCCAGCGCTGCTGGTGGGGGTTTCTAGGAGTTGAAGTCCACCCATCTTCAAACTACCAAGGTTGAGAAACACTGCTGTAGTTTCATCTCAAAACCCCCAAAACTTTATCCTTAAGACTGTTTACTGTTGACCTCACCCCATTCCTAAGAGGTCTGTAAGGGGCCTGCATAAGAGCACTAGCGGCCTACTGTCCCTGGCCTAATGTTGCCTCTATTTGTATCTAGGTTATGTATTCAATTCATGCTTATACTTATACATATACATATACATATACATATACATATACATATACATATACATATACATATACATATATATTACCTAATGTGTTCTTGACAAATAAATAAAATTAATTAATTAAAAATGCCCCAGGAAAGGACGGGGATTATGGGGCATTAGAGAACCGCGTCTTCTCCCCGCCCACCAAACCTAAAACTGTACCCGGAGCTTCACCTCTTTATTGCGGCTTCCCGGTTGCCTAGCAACTGGAGGCCTCGGTTCCTTGCCTGCTCCGGCCGGCGACGCGGTAACAAAAACCGGAAAGGCAAGAATGCTGCTGCTGCCGCCGCAGCCGGTGCCGCCGCCCTCTGGGTGCCGGCCGCCGCGGGGGATCATGAGCGTCTCGGGTAGCTTCCGTCTCCCCCAGTTCTGCAGAGACGAGGGATTTGGGTGTCGGTTCGCCCCTCGTCCTCCGTTGCCTTTCGCCCTCGGGAGCGATGAGCCCTCGCTATGAGTAGCAGCCAGCAACGCTCCCACCTCGAGCAACGCGGTGCGTGAGGGAGCCCGGCGGGGTGCGGGACGTGGGGGAGGGTAGCTGAAAGAAAAGGGAAACTCGGCAAAAGGGTTTGTTTGGAGTGTTACCTGGCACAGGGGTAACAATGCTAGCTTACCTTACAAGGTGTTTTTTTAAAAAAATAATAATAAAAAGAATGGGTTATTTGGACTTTATCACAAAATGGCACGCGCCTATGAATACACATGGAGAAGTCACATGGGGCTCAGACCCAGGTAGGCAACCTCCGAACCTCCTTTTTTGCTGCCCATCTGACCTTGTTTGGATGGCGGAGTTTATATAGCAACATTTTGAGGCGCGAATCTTGCAGGTTTTGGTTAACAAAAGGGTATGTTGAGTTGAGCTGGAACCCTAACAACGCCGGGGTGTGCTGTATCCATGTTGCTGAAGACACAGGTGTTTCCTTTTGTCTCATTTTTATAGAAAAAGAATGTTGGACAGGATTAAAAACTACGGAAACATAAAGAGAACATTGGAAGGGAAAAGAGATAAAAACGATGAAAAAGTGAAAAGGAAGCGGGAAAAAATGAGAATATTTAAACAAGCCACTTCCAATCTTCTTGGCAACACTTGCAAACATAGTTATTGCCATTTCCACTCTCCCAAATGATGTAACATGGTTCCATTCTTCCCATAAACCACCCTTTTTAATCAGTAAATTCCCATATCATAACTTTTATCCATTTTTGGCAAAAAAAATCTATAGGTTTCCAGTCTTTTATACAATTCCTTCCTAAAATAGCCATTTCAGTAAATAAATTGCTTTCTAACCTCAGATTTTTTTTATAGTCTCCTTTCTAAGGACTAATTAGGTCTGATCTTCTAAATACCAAAGAAAAACAAAACAAAATTCTTGCCCTTACTTATTGGTGGCATCATCTCACTTACCAGTAATTGCAGCCCTCAGGCCCTTCCAAATGCTAAGTATAGTCCACTTTGGATAGTGAGACGAACAGCATATAAATTTAATAAATAAAAATTAAGTGAAAATGTGTTTGATGGTTTGGAATGTGTAAGTCCAGCTATTATGATATTTAAACATACCTTTACCAAGGTGAGTCTAGTCATTTCAAGAAGCTGTAGTTAAAACAAACCATGGAGTAGAATAGTGTTTGAAGCCAGAGTTACAATTTTCACTGAACTAAGTAAGATTGATACTCAAAATACAGCATGCAGGTACTTCTCAGACTATTTTTTTAGTTTAAATTACAGTGGCACTGAAAACAGTGATTTACGACCATTTTTCACATGACCATTGCACCATATCACATTGTCAAAATTCAGGCACTCAGCAACTGGTAGTATGTATTTATGATGTTGCAATGTTCCAGGGTCATGTGACCACTTTTGCGACCTATTGGCAAGCAAAGTCAATGGAGAAGCCAGATTCACTTAATCGTGTTAACTAACTTAACAATTGGGTTGATTCGCTTAACAACTGTGGCAAGAAAGGTTGTAAAATGGAGCAAAACTCACTTAACAACTGTTTTGCTTAGCAACAAAAAAGTTGAACTCAGTTATGGTCAAGGACTACTGTATTGGACTGTAGCCTAAAAATGCCAGATGTTAAAAAAAAGGCACGATTAGCTGCAGAAAATAATGTACTACTGATGCTTAAGCATACTTTTTACTGTATTCACTTTATTTTACATAAAATTAATGCAAAAACAAATTTCATTTTATCAGAATGAAGCTTGACAGAAATGAAGCATTACAAAATCAGACTGGAACTAACAAAACTGATTTAGTGAAGTATAACAGTAATGTAAAAAGTGGGAGTGCCAATTATTTGTAAGGGACAAATGGTAATAGGAATAATAGTACTGCAAATGTTTATAATTGTTATGTTGACCTCTCGTGTATAAAAATGTGTCATTTAGAAACAATGTTTATCATAATATTTGAGAATGCATACAGTAAAACTGAATAATGGAAGATTCACAACATATAAAAAATAACATTCTTTTAAAGAATTTTCTGCCAAAAAAATGTACAAATTTAAAAGAGAATTTGGAAGGAGGATCACCACTACTTATACTAGTGTTTCTCAACCTTGGCAATTTAAGATACAAAGACTTCAATTCCCAGAATTCCCTAGCTAACATGGTGTTTTGGTTGGTCATTGTGAGAATAGAATGCCAGAATAAATGGGACTTGGATCTGTTCCTACTGGGTTTTTCTTAACAGCTTTTTTCCCCAATAGATAAATTTAAAAACTTTAGACTATAGTGACTGACCATGGAGCTAAAAAAGCTATTGTCTAAAGTTAATAGAGTATGACTTTCTAGTTGAAATAACTGAGCAAGAATGTGGATGGTGCGATTTTGCAAATCAAGACATTGGGAAGCTTGAAATGTGGTTTGAGAAAATTATTGATTTGGAAAATTTGAATGATAGCCTTGGTTGGAACACAAAATCAGAAAGTTAGAAATTTAGCCTTCTTTTCAATTGGTTAATTGCTTTATTTTGAACATTGTGAGGAAATGCTGTAATAGCAAGGTAATCATTCAAAAGATTGGTTAACTGTACAGGCAGAACTACTATGTATTGGTAAGATCCATCTATGTATATACTCCTAAAACTTTAAACAGTTGCTAAACAAGTGGTTCATAAGTCAAAGACATAGAATCTCTGTACATTAGAATCCCTGTCATTGTTGAAAGTGTTCAGAAACCTGCTAAGGAAATACTGTAGCTCTGAAATGACCCAACAATGCACAGATTGTCTAGCTAAACTATATAACCAGGTATAGTTCTGGTAGCTCCATAATTAACTATCCTCATATTTCAGTGCAGCTTTAAACAACCTGCTTGTTCTAATAAACATTAAACCCAGTTACTTTTGAATTGGACTAATAAGGCTGCTGGATCTGAAGACTGCAATTTTTGTTTCTCATGATCAAGGATTCTGCTTTGCATTTTACATGATTTACCTAGCATTAGAAGCTGAAGAAAAATCTCATTAAGCCACACCGTTCAAAGAATAGCCTTAAGATATGGCAATTGGGATCCACTGTAAACCTGTCTTTGCTAGGAGAGTATAATCTTTTTTTCACAGCTGCCAATCCCAAGACAAAGTAGTAAAGCTGCCTTCCAAAAGTACCAAGCATTTAAGTACATATTTATATTCTTTAGCACTGAATGCATTCCAGGTGGAAAATTGTAAAATGCTGTGCAAGTTATATAAAATGCCAGAACCAAGGTCTGATTTAGTCTCTTCTACAGCAATTTTATTTTTAGTCCTTTTATACTAGGAATTTATAATAGAATTATATATATTTAAAATTATTAAGCATTACATCCCTTATGGGTATTTGTCTCAGTTTTCTACACATAGTTCTCAATTTACAAACACATTTGAGCCTCAAATTTCCATTGCTAAGCAAAATAGTTGTTAAGTGAGTTTAACCCCATTTTAATTCGCTGTTAAGTGAATGAATCCAATTCTTAAGTTAGTAACATGGTTGTTAAGTGAATCTGATTTCCCCACTGACTTTGCTTGTCAGAAGATCGCAAAAGGTGAACACATGACCCCAGGATACTGCAACTGTCATAAATACATGCTAGTTGCCAAGCAGCCAAATTTTGATCACGTGACCATAAGATGCTGCAACTGTTCTGTGAAAAACAGTCGGAAGTCACTTTTTTCAGTGCCATTGTTCTGAAAATGGTCACTAAACAAATAGTTGTAAGTTGAGAAGTACCTTACACAGTATTTTATTTGGATAATTAATTTTAATAGTAAAAATATATACTATATTATTGGGGAGAAAAGAAAATATTTATATAATTCAATAAAATAACTAGTTCATACAGAAAGGAATAAATCTCATACATTACACACATTCACACACACTCTGTCTCCTCCACACATACATGCCAGTACTTATAACTCATTCTAAGGACTCAATCATGGGGTGTCCTGCTTTATGACTGCATTGTTTAGCGATGGAAATTACATTCCCAATTGCTATCATTAAATGAGGATTATTTGTATTATCTGATAAACAATTTTGTTAAATACATCATTGTCAGTTTGGAAACTATGACTTCCTTTTTCTAGTATAATAATGTAATATTGTAACCAAAACACCAACACCAAAATTTCATATCCTCCCTGTTATTTATATTGTGTTCAAGGCTCCTTTTAGAATGAAACCACTGATAAACAATCTTACAAATTACAATCCATTAATAATTTACTGATGTTTTCAACAGTTGTTTGGATTTATTCTGCAGTGGATGTTGAGATGCATGACAAGTTGAAGAATCCTCCAGTACAAGGATTTGTCTAAAAGCTTGGTAGAAAATCTTTAGTTAAAGGTAGCCCTCTGGGTATGACAGCAATTGGGATTGAGAAGTCTATGGCTAAACAATGCAGTCATAAAGCATGATATGACATGACAGCATTGTTTAGTGATAGTAATTCCAGCAGTCTCTGTTATTGTTGTTAAATGAAGATCATACAAGTTGTTAAGTGAAAACCTTATGCATTGTGACTTCCAATTTTCTGTTGGCTTCCCCATAGACTTTGCTTGTGGGAAGCCAGCATGCAATGTCAGAAAGCACAACCTCATGACCAAAGCTTGCTGCCACATAATTGTGAGTTGGGCAAAGTACCTAGATCACAATCTTATGACCACAGGGAGAATGTGATAGCCAAAATTCTGAGGACTCATCATAAGTCCTTCATTCAGCACTGTCGTAACTTGATTAGTCACTGATTGAATGATCGTAACCTACCTGTATTACAAAATGCAGTGCATACGTCTCGCCAACTAACTGGAGACATGAGCTTGGCTGAACTTTTTATTTGTTATCTGAGGTTCTTTTTTTTGTGTCCCTTGACACTTTATGTTCAGCACAGACTGACCAACCTTATCTGAGTATTGATGTGGAATGTCCTCCCTAAAAAAGTACACATAGTGCCAGTTATGATACCTTTGTTGATTTCAGGAGAACAATTATTTTTATCGCCCAGATATTTCAACATGTTTTATTGCTAGTTTAGTATTTTATTTCCTCAAAAGGTTTGGGGCTAGGCTTGATGTGAATAGTAATCCTCTTTATCCAGGGAGCATCAGAGCTGGGAAAGTTATGTTAGTGCCTTGCAGGAAAGATTTAATGAGATATTCTGGGGTTTCTGTGTTTTTACTGATTTTGATTATTTTGTCTTGTGTGGAATCTAGATATAGGCATAGATATATAAAATATTTCAGTAAGTATGGATTTGTTAAACAATTTAGATCTATTTTATAAATAGGCTAAATCAGTGATGGCTAACCTTTTTCTCTTTGGGTGCCAAAAGCGCACATGCGTGCTGGCACCCATAATGGAATGTGCCCTTGCACATGCCTATGTGACCCCCCACGCGACCCCCACGCATACACAAAAGGGGCAGGATTCAAAAATGTTAGCAACCTGCACCACGGCGGGGGGGGTGTTTTCATCCTCCCCAGGCTCTGGAGGCTTTCCTCAAGCCTCCGGGAGAGCGAAAATGGCCTACTCTGGGCTCTGGAGACACTCCGGAGGCTGGAAACTTTGGGAACTTCCGGGAGGTCTGTTTTTCGCCCTCCCCAGGCTCTGGATGCTTTTTCCGAGCCTCAGGGAGGGTGAAAACGCCCTCCTTCAGGTTCCGGAGGCCCTCCAGAGGCTGGAAATGGGCCTGTTTCTGTACTTCTGAAACACTCATGCCGCTCCCCCCGTGCATGCGTGCATGTCTCCCACATACGTCCTGCCCCTGCGCATCCCGAAAATCAGCTGGCTAGCAGGAGGCATGCGCGTGCATGTGCAGTGGACACCTCGCATACCCGCAGAGAGGGCTCTGTGTGCCAGCTGTGGAACGCGTGCCATAGGTTCACCATCACAGGGCTAAATGCTTTAAATTGTTTCTCCAGTACTTGCAACTTTATTAGTTAATGTTCTGTATCAGTGATGGCTAACCTTTTCTGGACCGAATGCCCCCAGTGTGCATGCACATGAATGTGCATGTGCCTGAACCCCAAAATGCAATTCACGCATGGCCCCATGTGCAGACTCCCCACATGCGCCCTACCCCGTGCATGCACATGTGGCCCTTGTGCATGCAGTCTGCTCTCCACATGCACCCTGTCCCCTGTGCATGCATGCACAGCTCCCCTGCATGTGCTTCACCCCTGCACATGCGCGAAGAGCAGCTGGCCAGCGGGAGGCATGCACGCATGTGCGGCGGAGCTGAACTGGGGCGATGGCTCACGTGCCGACAGGGGGGCCACTGCCATAGATTCGCCATCACGGTTCTGTGTTATTATTATATTTACTTTGGGATGCCAATACTATAGAAAGTGTTTTGTTACTAAACAAAATTATAGCTGTCATTTGATAAAATATCTCTTTCCCCCTTTGCTTAATTATATATGTAAGAATTTGATTTGAATTATTTGTCTAAAAAAGAAGGGAAAAATTATAGCTATGTTTAATACAAATACTTTTTTCATTATTCTATAAAATATTTACTTTTTTCCCCAATACAGATTTTTTAAAAAAAAAGTCGTGATTTTTTTTACATTTTCAAATGAAAGCAAAATATTTCATTGCAGATTTACAGGTAGATAATGGCAAACTCCCGAAGATCTCTCGTTTTCCAAAATGGTAAGTATTTTAAACCAGGATCAATTAAATTCTTTTTTTTAAATCTTAAAATGGTTTATTGTTATAGAAAACATGATACTTCTAGTCTACTCTAATCTAGCATTTCCAGATAAATATATTTGTAGCTCTTAGCTGAGGCAGACAGTTCACTCTTTTTTTAAATAAGGGAGTGGGATAAAAAGAGGGACTCAAAGATAAGTGGTATGAGAGCATGAAATTCTCCTAAATTACTATTTGCTATATCTGATCAAGAAATACACTGCAAACTAGTACTTGGTAGAAAATATATGTGAAAGCTGTAGAAACGATACACAAATGCCATGATGAGTCTATACCTACAAAGATCATATTCCATATGACACTTGAAACAAAAGTTGGATTGTGAAGAAGCAGAATTGAATACTTTGGGCACTTTTTGAAACTTTGCTGTTAGAGAAGACTCCTGAGAATACCATGAACAGCCAAGAAAACAAACCAATGGAGCATGGAGCAAAATCCAGCCAGAATTCCCACTCAAGGCACAGATGCCCTGGCTCAAATTACCCCACTGTGAACACAGTATGCACAGACTAACTCTCTGGAGAAGCTCTAATGCTGGAAAAAGTGAAAGAAAGAAGACCAGAAAGAAAGAATTACTAGCAGCAAGATAGACTTAGTTACAGCAGCAATGAGGTCATTGTTGGAAGATCTGAAAGATTGTCATGGAGGAAATCTGTTTATGTGATCCCAAAGAGTTAACAACAGCTTGATGGCACAGACAATAATCAATCAATGTCTGAACCAAAATAATAATGGGTAGAAATTATTAGCAAAGTATTTTTCTATTGAATGTAGTCATGAGGTTATAATTGTGGCATATTTTTCTTGGATGATGATTTTGAGAAAGACATGTTATTTTTTACCTTTTTTTATGGCACGTTGGAATTTATTATAATTATTCTTAATAAAACATATTTTGCTAGATAAGTATATTTGGGATACACCATTTGCTATTTTAGGTTAGAGAGAAATTGAACAAACTGAAATACCTATTTGGAAACGTTAAAACTGAAACGTGTATAAAAGAATCGATAGCTAAGACAGTGATAGCAATGGTAGTATAAGATCTGTTTCTTTAATAAATCAAACTTCTGTTTTTGGAAGATTATTTCTTGCCTAAGACCCTTGATTTCTAAAGAGAGTCATTCAATTTCCTTAATAAATTAATAAAAATAGTACTGAAATCTCTGAAAGCTAGCTTGCCTACTCTTACTACATGCATGAAAGGTTCTTTGTATGGACTACATACAAGATCACATACAAAGTGCAAGAACACTACCCTTGAAGATTTTCCACACTCCTTTAATATACCATGGCTGTTTAGGAGTTTCACATAAAACTATTGATATAGAAACAGATTCCTAAAAGTATAACGTTTAAAACTACCCATTATAGTGTATAGAACCTGTCAGTTAACTGAACCAATATTGCTTAGGGATGATCAGTTAAGGAAGTTTCTATAACTTGGTCTCTTCAGATCTATTGGCAAGTATTTCATCCTCCATTGGCCCTGTTTGTCTTGGAATTCCAGAAGTTGTATTCCCACCTCTAAGAAAGGGCCTTGGTTACCCCCCCAAAAAAGGAAGGTGTGTTTGAAATTGTAACCAGATTCTTTAGTGACTTGTTTATCAGAAATATATTTGTGCTTTATAACATTTGAAAAACATTACTTATTTGTTGTTTACATATGCCCATGATGTTCCATTTTTCTGTCTGAAATAGGAAACATGCCACTTTACAGCCAATCCCAAAAGAAAGAAAATTACCATTCCTGGCACCTGATAATAAATTCCTGGATCATAAAGGAAAATTATTTGAAAGTGAACCATTTATGGATAGTTGGAAAAATGCAGTTTTAAAGACAAAAAGAATTAAACAAGGTAAAACATATTATAACAATTTTGCAGAAAATTTAATACTTATTAAATCTAGTTGTGTATTTTTATACCGGTGTTGTCATGATGTTACATATTTAAAAAGATTTCAGAGTCTTTCTTCCACAGATTTATTAGTGTTTTGAGTTATTGTTTTGCTATGTTTGATGTCTTACATTTGAGCATTTGTCAATTGTTTGGGAAGCAAGCCTGAAGGCAATTATATAATTTTTTTATGTAAATAAAATAAGTCTGTTATATTTACAGTTTAAGTAATAACTATAAAAATATTAGCAGCATATGATTAAGATTAGCATATTCAAATTTGTTTATAGTTCTTTTTTGGAAGGATTTTTCCTTACGTTTGAGGATATTGTCATTCAAAGCTTTCTGAGATGGATGTATTTAGGTCTATCTACTTAGGATGCAGTTCTATACAGACAGCACTCTAGTTACAAACAGGTTACATTCTGAGAGGCTGTTGAAAACTCTGTTTTCTTTCCAAGTCCAATAAGCATAAAAAGCATACCCAGTTCTTACCCTACAGCCGTGATGGCGAACCTATGGCACGGGTGCTACAGGTGGTACGTGGAGCCATATCTGTGGGCATGCGAGCATTGCCCTAGCTCAGCTCCAGCGTGCATATGTGTGCAGCTAGCTGATTTTCGGGCCTTCTGGTCCCACCGGAAGTCGGGAAACGGGCTGTTTCCGACCTCCGAAGGGCCTCCGGGGGTATGGGGAAGGTTGTTTTTGCCCTCCCCAGGCTCCAAGAAAGCCTCTGGAGCCTCGCGAGGGTGAAAATCGGGCCTACCGGGCCCACAGTGCCATTGTGTGCCAAAAGCAGGGGGAGTGGGGGGGTGTCACATGTGCATTGAATTATGGGTGTGGGCACGCGCACACACGACCCCACTGTGCTCCCCCCGCTTTTGGCACATGACAATAAGGTTAGCCATCACTTCCCTATAGTATATGAGTAGAAGTTTGGAGAGGGTGGGAATGGGAAAGGATTAGTTTCTGGCACTGCTAACTGTTCTCTATCTTCTGCCGACTGTTGGGACCTTCTAAATTAGAGTTGTGGACAGATTTATTGGCATTAGCAAAAGTCCGCAACTTGAAAAATAGTAAGTAATATCTATATAAACATACCTGGGAGTAAGTCTTATGGAACTCTGTGTAGTTTATATTTCCGTTACAGCTTTCTTGTCTGCATGTTTCAAGCAGATGATGGGAACGGAGTTGTCATGATGAAGACAGCTTTTCGTTTTTGTTTCCTCTCTTCTATTTTGAGCATTTATATACCTAAAAATGATTTCATAGAAGATGCTCCCATTATTGAGGATTGTTTCTGTTGTATTTTGGGTTTTTTCCCTAGACAGCCAAGTTGAAAGTATCTGTAGGTAAACATATCCTTATTTATTCTGGAGATATTTCTCTCATTGATTTCAGTGCTTGATTTCTATGCATTTATAATTAAGGTTAGAGTATTGAAATTCTGATGTGATATTTCATGTTTCCTATTTTGAATTATTTCCCTAACCAGAGTATGTTTCTGCATATGGCTTGAGTGATTCCAATGAAAATACTGCAATGCAGTGTCTTTCTCAGAGTACGGAGGAATATCCTGCAATACCAAATCCCCTTCCTGTTATACAAATGACACAAAGTTGTGCTAATAAATTTCCAAACAGGTATATTATTTTACTTTGGGTTTTAATATGAGGAATATGCAAATTTTATTTCTCAGATTGTACTGCACAGAATAATTTACAGAATCATAAGTGCCATTTCATTCCCAAATTATCCTTGTTTGTATAGTTCTTTTGATACCACCAAAATACTTTACAAAGAATAGGTATTAACAGCTCCCGTGATTCATGGATCAATGATGATCCCATTATTGTATTACCGTATTTTTTGGACTATAAGACGCACCAGTATATAAGACGCACCAAGATTTCAAAAAGATAAGCAAGAAGAAAAACGTTTTTGCCCTCTCCAGTCCACAGGAGCACTCTGCAGGCCTCTCAAAGCCTCTGTGCACCCCGTTTTTGCTAAAATAGTCCCATTTTTTTTCAAAAACGGGATGCATGGGGCGAGGTTTGGGAGGCCAAAAATGGCAGTATTCAGTGTATAAGACACACCAACATTTCCACCCTATTTGGGGGGGGAGGGGAGTGTGTCTTATACTCCGGAAAGTATGGTATTTGTATTTCTGATGTTAACCGACAGTCCTTAGAAATTATAGCAGTATAAGGTTAGCACCCAAGAGTCACTATGATTGTTGTCAAGATGCTATTCCTGAGTAAAATACTTTCTTTTAGACTCAGATTATTACCCATATTCCAGAGTTGGTCCTAATTCTTGTGTTTTTTTTAAGAAAAAAGTAATAAAGTGGTAAATACAAATAATGTCCTGTCTATGCCATAAAGGACCTCAGTTTAAGGCTTTTACTCTTAACTAATTTCCAATAAACTGTACCCAAAGCAGTTCATGATAAACTATTAAAATGCTGTTAGAATAACATCTGAACAAACAATCTGTGACAAAGCATTCAATAAACTAAAATAGGATAGCAATTCATAAACTGCCTGGTAAGGCAACAACAAAGCTAATTTGCAATATTCATTATTGTCTAGTTTAGAATGAGTAGGAGTTTACTCTGGTGGCTAGATCAAAGGGGAAGAAGGAAGTGGGACACTGATCAGTCATTGTCATTTCCTAAGTGTTTCAACTGCTAATGCTAGTCTTTATTGTTATTATTTTCATCATTTTAGCTCTTATAGTAATGAAGATTCCAGATTGCCACCTTTATATTTGCTTCCATCTACTCTATCTCAAAGTTTTTTTGAAGGCTACTACAAAAGCAGGTAAGGCTTAATTTCTTTTTGAAAGGAACTTACTTTACTGTAATATTATATTCCTTATGTGAGCAAACTATAGGCCACATATATTACCTACATACCTATTTTACAGTCCCAGAATATCACTGGCATGGGCGAGGACAATTTTTTGGTCCCTTTTAGAAAGAGGCAGTTGTTTTTGGAGCAGCCGGAAGAGTTTAGAAAACTAAAGAGATCTGTTCTGATCCTTAACATTTCCCTTCTTTTATATTCCTCAAATTGGTCAATTGCAATCCTACAAAGCTTAAGATCAAGAGCCAGTTTGGTGTCCTGGTTAAGGCACCACACTAAAAACCAGGACACTTGTGAGTTCTAGTCCAAGTTTGGGCAAAAGGCCAGCTGAGGATCTTGGGCTAGTCATTCTCTCTCAGTCCTAAGAAGCAGGCAATGGCAAACTACTTCTGAAACACCTTGCCAGGAATCAGCATTGACATTTTTAAAAAAAGCAATTGAAGTAGACAGTCTATTTCTGGTAGACATTGTTCTAAAAAAGCCAATACAAGGGGTAGCTTGAGTAGACACGAGGCTTCCATCAAGCTTACACTTGGAATCAGATCATTTAAAAAAATATAAACATTCTTTTCCATGGACCCCTATGGAATTGATTTATTACTTAAAAAAAAAACCTTACCTGTCATTTTAAATGTATAGAAGTATTCCATGTTATTGTATAGAGCAAGAAATATGTAAGAACTGTTACTTAGAAAAAAAGCAGAATAGCAGAACAGAATAACATAGGGGGATCCACTGGTCAGAGAAATGGTTGTCCTATCTCTTCGTAAAAACCTCCAGTGTTGGAGCACCCACAACTTCTGGAGGATGAAAAGTTCATAAGTCTTGGGAAGCAAGATAATATTCATAAGCAGCTTAGGCAAGTACCTCCCTAGCTCTTTGAAGTATAAGGAGGAGGGGTAGAGCATAACCTGACTTTTAAGATTCTCTTATTTAAATATAATCTAAATAAAGTGTAGTACCGGTCTTCCTGTGAGGTTAATTTTCATGGTCTGATCTACTCAAACAGTTATAAGCCTTCTAGTTAAAAGGCAGATCATATTATTTCATAGTATGATTAATTGAGATGCATTGTTTTAATTGTTTTCTTTCATGTATTGCATTTAGTGATAAGCACATAATAAAGAAAACTATTACTACTACTGCAACTGTCTAAATCAGTGTTTTTAAAAGTGTGGTCCAAAGACTCCTAGAGGGTCCACAAAATCAAATTACTTGCCCGATATTGAAGATAGTTGAACCCATCTTTCTAATAATTGTGGTTGGAGGACAAAAGTGCATATTGGTGTTCATCAGTTGTGTAATTGTACATTAAAGATTATACAAGAGTGGTACTTTGAAATTGCTCATTATGACTTATCCAATAGATGGCAGCATCTAATCAACTGTGGCTGATGTAATTAGATCAGAGCTAATCAACTAACCAAGAGCTAATCAAGATCAAATTTGATTAGTATTTGGATGGAAATTCCAGATCTATAGATTAGACTGCAAAATCAGACAAAAACAAAAACTGAAGAAAGCAATAGCAAACTGGACTATTTGCCAAGAAAACTATATGGACTTGCTTATGTAGTTATCAGAAGTTTAGGTTATCTTAGGGAAATCATTATCTCCAAAGACAAAATCTTATCTATTCAAGCTTTCCAGTATACAGTTCCTTTAACAAATATTTTAATTGGTATTTTTGTGCAATACCAAAAATTAGGGGATGGTCACAATTGAATTCAGTGTAGCTTAAAGTGTCAGATATGATAAAGAATAAATTTTATGTAATTGAATATTCTCATAATACAGTTTTCTCAGATACTTTGCTTGGTTCGTCTAGATATATTTCATTCCATTTTCCTTAATCCTAGCCATCATTGCCAGATGGTTTTGACTCTGGGAGTCATAGTTCAAACATCTAGATTAGTATTTCTCAACCTTGCCAAGCTGAAGATGCTGGTTGGGGAATTCTAGGAGTTGAAGTTTACACATCTTAAAGTTACAAAGATTGAGAAACATTGATCTAGAAGATACAAGGCCATAAGCACTTTCCACATTACAAATTGTGAAAAATAAGTGATTTTAGAAGGCAGATTTAATTCACTCACATCTGTGATGTATTATCATGCTTTACAGGGGAGACATTGCCATGGGACACCCAACCAAAAAAGAAGTGCCTTGCATATCAGCACCTCTGAAGAACTCCAAACCACACTGTCAAGCTGGAGAGTTAGATACTGTGAGGTAAGGCGGTTTGAAAGCGCAAAGATAGCTAACTCTCTAGTGAAATGCTGAAAGTTAGGAGTTTTTTAAATTTTTTGCTAGGCTATTTTTTTTTTTTTTATTTGATTTATATGCTGCCCTTCTCCGGAGACTCAGGGCAGCTTACAATGCGTTAAGCAATAGCCTTCATACTTTTGTATATTTATACAAAATCAGCTTATTGCCCCCACAAACTGGGTCCTCATTTCACCTACCTTAGAAAGGATGGAAGGCTGAGTCAACCTTGAGCCTTGGAGATTCGAACCAGCAGAAAATTGCAGGCAGCTGTGTTAATAACAGGGTGTGTAGACCACTGTACTATCAAGACTCTTGATATTACCTAAGTGCTATTTTTGATTGAGATATAGTAAACTACCATAGCTGCTTTGTTTCAACAATTCAGATTTCACATTTCATTTGTTATAAATTTAGGAGTTATTCTAGTGATATAAATAAAAGCTTAAGATTTGAGAAATCAAATACATACTTGATTGATTATATGTGGTAAATTTGTGGAATACATTATACCGCATCTGAATAAAAACCACAATAAACATTCTTAATGAAAACAAATAAGCACAGATTAAATATTATACTCTGATCTGGGAGTGAATTCCACAAACCAGAAAGCACTGAATGACTTTGGGATAGTGAGTGTTTTTTCTTAAATTTAAATGATTTTGAGCTCTTGAAATAAAGGCAAGAATGGAAATGTAATCAATAAATGTAAAGAAAACATCCTACCCAATGAAATAAAAATGCTATTTTCAGCAATATTAAACCTTCAAAATGGTTTGTAACCTGTAGTATGTCAGCATTTGACTTTATATGACAATTCTGTATCTCCAACTACAATTTCAGTACTTATTAAGAATATAGTACCATTTAAAATGTTGGGTGGTGATGGCTACTGAATCATATCATGAGAAATATTAAATCAATATTTTAATTTCCTTCCACAACATTGACTTCATACAAACAAATAATTATTGGTAATTAAAATATGCTATCCTTTCATTGCACATTTATAGGTTGAAGAAACTGAATAAGTGTTCCAGACTGGCTTCATTTCCAGGAAGGGTCAACTACAGGACTGGTAAAAGAGCCATTTCCTACTTCTGCCTTTATTTAAAAATTAAGCAAATTAGTATTCACTGTATTTTACTCTATCACGAGTTCTTTTACATATACCCAAATCAATGGGCTACAAAATCCAAGAGAGCCAATACAACCACACAGGTCCCTTGGCAACACACAAGCACTCAAAAGCTAGTATTAACTGCTCACTACTCCACTCTTTCCTACTTCTACCACACTTCTACTAGGCTTGAAAAGGACAGGACAACAGCAGCATAGGTGTTAGCCATTTTGTAAGCAACCTGTCCTCTCCCATATTGTGAAGTCTTCTTCCTGTTTTTACATTCACTATTAATATTATTTTCTCTAAAATATGGGCAAGGAATGGAATCTAGAATAATTTACCCCCATACTTTAAATTTTAGATCCGTGATGGCGAACCTATGGCACTCATGCCACGGGTGGAATACAGCGCCCTCTGTGGGCACATGAGGGGTCGCATCAGTTCAGCTCTGTCACACATGTGTGCACACTTCCCGATGGCCAGCTGGTCATCAGGTGTCTCCCATGTGTGTGGGAGGGGGACGTGTGCATGGGGGCACACATGCATACATTGGTGGTGGGGCGCATGTGGGGCCATGCGCACATGCACAGGGGGGTGGGACACATACAGGGGTTCATGCACAGGGTTGGGGGCCTTCCATGCATTACATTTTGGGGATTCACGCTCTTTAGCCACTTGGTCTGGAAAAGGTTAGCCATCACTGGTTTAGATCCTTTGAGAAAGAAAATATTCTGATGATCAAAGTAGGCTCATAGACATGCAGGTGTTTACATTGTGGATGTCTGTTCTGCCTTGATTTAAAAACAAAAAACCTATAAAAAAAATACTAGAGTAAGGCTTATGGGCTTGCTGTAGGCAGTCATATTGCCATATTAAGAAGGCAAGACCCCTTATCTAGCACTAAGACTGGTTCCCTCCCAAACATCAGTGGAGGATAAAGTCAAAGAAATGAGTCATTCCGGCAGAACTACCTTTCTGGATCTTTTTGCTAGAATTCTATAAAGCAGAACTCTCACCAGCTTTAGCCACTTTGAGCAGGGCAGAAAGGGAAAGTGGGGATGAGCTGCATTTGTGAGAACTCATTTCGAAAGATAATAAACACATCAGTTTCTTCTGTCAGCAGAGGGAGCTCCTAAAATGCTTTGTTTTGGAGATATTGGCAATCAATATTTAGTAATAGCTTCAAATGCACATTTTGCAATTTTAATTGCAATTAAAAAATTTGGCATTGTAATTTCCCATTTTGGGGGTTTATTTTTGCTGCAATTGATTTGTTTGAAAGAGTAATTATTTGTGATAAAATATACCGGTAAATGCATTTTTGAATTTTAATAACACATGCCTCTAATTTATAACCATCTCATACAATTCTCCTCTACTTCTAACATAAATCTCAGAAATAATTATGATGTTCAATTTCTGTATTTCTCAGAATATCTGGATTGCTGCTACGAATTACAGATTTTAATGTATATTGAGTGCATTTATAGTGATGTCCTATATTATCAATTTTAGATAGCTTGTGGCATATTTGCATTTAGTTGGTAACAGAAGTGGATGAATTTTGACAATTTCACCCCAAAGTTAAGAGTAGAAATGGAAGATATTTCAAGCTTTCCACTCCCTTATAGACTCCAGATTTATTGTTTGTTAAGGAAGAATTAAGTCTCTTTTTTTAGCACTCTTGAGCATTGAGGCACCTGGCCTCTTAAGAGTTGTTTTTCATTCTACCTCCAGTTCCAAATACAGACAGAAAAACACATGGGCTGGAAAAGTCCATCTCGTTCTGTCTGATAGCATCCTACTACCAAAATACTCATCTAGAAAGGTGACGATTTAAGTTGCAACCTGATTCACATGTTGTCCGATGTTGTTCATATGCTGCATTAAGCCACGATTTACTAAGTATGTATAGTGAATCAAAATGAAATATTTAATACAGTGACCCTTCATTTAACTGACTAGCTGGGGAAAAGCAACCTCTATTATGTTACCTGACTTAAATCACAACCAAATTCAAATCCTTCATCCAGGCTATAAATTATATAAATTACATCACTGCAAAAATCAGTGCTAGCATGCAACTTTCATATTTAATACACATTTGTGCAATTGTACTCTATGTTATCATAATGCACAGCACAACTGGCAGAAGTTAATCAACCTTTGCTGATCTCAAAAATAGCCACAGCACTTAAAGACATATACTGCTCCGCAGTGCTTTACAGCACTGAGTGGTTTACATCAACATATTGCTCTTAACTGGGTCATTTTACCCACCTCGCAAGGCTGGAAAGCCGAGTCAACCTTGAGTCAGTCAGGATCAAACTCCTGGCAGTCGGCAGTTAGCCTTGTTTAGTTGAATATGGTTATGCATTTGAATGGCAAACCATCATGAAACCTAGGGCTATATGCTTATCCTAAAAATGCAAAACACCCCAAAAAGCACCAATAAGCCATTTCTGTTGTGGCCAAAAGGACGGGAGTATGTCAGTGGAGTCTTCCAATTGATTATGACCAAAGTTTGTATTTTCCAGATGGTTTTTACACATGTATCATTAAATAAAAACCAAGTAGAATCTTTTTTCTTCTTAGGTTACCGATTTGCTGATCCTGCCAATGGAGCCCCATCTCAGTTCCTTCAGAGGCTTGCTGAATTAGCTGCTCTTGAATGCACAACCATTTATGAAGAGAAAACCGGAAAAATAAAGAAGACCAAGAAACAAGAAGCATAGACCAGAATTATGCAAGGAGCAGGCTCCTTTGCAATTAATGTTTTTGTTTGATCTCCTTTTAACATATATTGTGTTGATCAGTGAGTCACAATTAATGTAAAATAATAATTAGATGTTTAATAAATGTATTATCATGGTTATATTGTCCAAACCAAGTTCAGTTTAAAAATTGGTTACTCAAAATGGAAAGAAAAAAAATCAACTTTCAACCTCATCTAAATGCATGCATCCTTCTCTAACCTATATTCAAAGCATTTAAGGTAAGGCTGTCAAACTACTGGCCCACGGGCTGGATGCATCACACACTGCCCACGGCCAGTTTAGCGAAGGGGAAAAGTCCCGATACGTCACATGACACTACCATGACGCGAGTTTGACACCTGATTTAAGGTTTCATTCCTAACAAGCATAATGATCTAGGCATACTATGCAAACCTAGTCATTGTGATTAGTTCATGCAAATTTGTTTATTTTTATTCTTGGAGACTGCCAGTAAGTCCCTACTGTTTTCTATTTCAGAAGTGTTTTGCTATTGCCTCCTTCCTAGGGTAAAGTGACTGGGCCAAGGTCACCCAGCTAGCTTTGTGCCTAAGGTGGAACTCAGTGTTTTGGCTTCCAACTTTATGCCTTAACCACTACACCAAACTAGTGTAGTGGTTAAGTCTCTATTAAATTAGAGACTTGGATAGCGAGATCGGCAGCATAGATAATAAGTAAATAAAACTATCTGTAAATTGGCTTTGCCTGCAATAATGCAAAGATCATAAACCTAATCATAAACCCAGAATATGCTGAATACATGAGAATAGAAATTTTTTGTCCATTTCTGCAATTATTAGCTGCAATTATTAGATGATCTCTCTCAATCCTGAACATATTTCTGAAGTTGTAGGCATTTCCTCCTTTCCCAACCATTCCATTGAATTAAAAATGTAATGGAGCCTGCCCATTCCATTCATAACCCAAGAATTTGTGGGAATCTTGTACCTTGAACGGGATCACTCCCTCCTTTCGCCCACACATTTGCTAATTGAATGTGTTGCTCGTTAGGTGCATGAGGCATTTCAGGTTGGGGAAGGCCATGGGGGCCTAGGGATGGAACAGGCTACCTGCCTAAGACCACCCAAGGCTTCCCCAACCCACTGAAATACCTCATGCTCCCCACAATTGCTTCCCCCTCCACCCAACCTGCCACACCGGGTCACTTATAGTGCAAAGCTCTAGCAGTCTCCTCTCTAGCCCCTCTGCTACACATGCCCTTCTGCAGCCCCACTTTGGGTTGTGCAGGCCTTGCCTGGCAGTTTGCCAGCCTAATCAGCTCCGTTTAGGCCTCGCCCAGCACATTGCAAGCCAAAATGGAGCTTTGGAGGGGATATCCGCGCCTTTGAAGCTCCATTTTGGCCTGCAACATGCTGGGCAAGGCCTCCAGAGGCCTAAACAGAATGTTGGAGGGGTGGGCCCGCCCCTCCAAACCTCCATTTCGGCTGGCAAAGTGCAGGACAAATGTTGCAGCTTCTGCAGTTGCTCGTAAGGGCGAACAATTGCTATGGTGCTGCAAGATTAGTTTTGGGGTTGTTTGTAAACGCTAGGTGGCACTTCGCTAAGGGAACGCCTGTAACTTGGGGATTACCTATATTCATGCACTACACCATGCTTAAACTTGCTAAGGCAGTCTCGGGATAGATACCATAATCTGGTTTGATTCTAATTTACCATGTCTGAAATCAGCTGTTTGTTAATTCAAGCCATGGTTAGAATATATGAAGAGCATTGTGATTACTTCATTAAGAATGCTAGGCTTTAAATTGATTCATTAGCAACTAAAAGTAACTAACTATAGATTAACACATTTATGAAAGCATAGCATATAGGAATGGGCAACTGATTTCCTGAAGAGGCCCCATGAGAAACTGGGAGTGTTGTAGAGGATCAAACCAATAGGGTGAACTTAATTCCATTCAATTGTGTGATTACAATTATTTACTTATTTACATTTAATTTCTAATTTACCTCATGGGAGCCAGACAGGGACAGCCAAAGGACTGGATATGGTATGCAGTCAACTTCATTTTACAGTGCTCTGTATTTAAATATTTAATACAAAAGTAGAGACCGTTCCTTTCCTTGATCTACTATGGAACTTTTTCCTTACCTCATGTTCAAGTATCAGGAAAAAAAAATCCTGGTATTATTCTTACTCACTTAATAGCCCAATAATTGAAAAGCAACCTAATCAGAATTTAATTCTTATACTGTACCATGTTTTACTTTACTTTTACACAGGGCCCAGTTCTCTTTGTAAGCAATGCCATTTGAACATCAAAAAGGAAAATAGCTAGATGTCAAGCATTGATTTAATTAGAAAAATATTTCCTGACTAAAAAAGTATATAGTGAGAAATTATTTATGATATTACTATAGGGGCTACTCAGCAATTAAGTCAACTCAATAATATAAAGGATGTACGCTTTCCTTCCAGTAACTGAATTATAGTTCCATTATCTTATCCTACTGGTTTATTGAAAGAAGCAGGATTAAGTGTATGTGTCTGAAATGCACAATGTATTATATCAATGAGCAAATTACTTAACATAATGACACACTACTTAGCTAAAACTTTTACCCTGCAAAAAAGGTGTTGACAGATAACTGAAATCGTCATGTGTCTATGCACCATACAGATACACCTTGTATTTACTGACGTTAATTTATGACTCTCAGGTTATCTAATAACATTTACTTCACTATTCTACTACCTAATCGTATTTAGTGGAATCAGAATATTCAGAAGCACTTCATGTACCAGTAAAAGAATTTAACAGTGCAAGCAGTTTTCATAGTTCTCTTTATTAACAATGTGTAGAGCAGTCATCTTCTGAGCCTCTAGGAGAGAAGAGATATTAACACTTAAAAAGCAGAAAACAAATCACATTTCAGAGAAAAAAACTGAATACAGGCAATGTATTAAAATTTCTGAAAACCACCAACATATTATATTGCATTTACTTCCCCATTTCTGAATCAAGGACCACACAAAACCTTTGAGTGGTACTTTCAGGGGCTACATTCTACAAAGCAGATGGCAACTAGATAAATTGGCTACAGCCAGCACAAAAGCTAAATTTTATTTAAAATAAAATTAGAATACACTTAGAGTGTAAACGTAAGTTTAATCATTTTATCTTATGCCCCAATAAATATTTAATCTATTCTTCCTTCCCTCATAGCCCCAGAAAGGCAACATTTAAAACCCATTAAGGAAAAAAACCTAATTCCTTTTCTGGTATTTATTTAAAGCATAGAATTAACAACATAACAGCACTAGTAAAAAAATATATATGAAGGGATCAAAATTTGTATGTTGGAAATGCAACCATCTAACTGTACCTTACCATTAATTCATCCTCCTAATCATCCTGTTAATCTGGTCCTCCCTATTTCCTGCATCACCACCTTCTACAAAATGAGTTGTTTTCTTCTTCATTCCACCCCTTGGAGAAGATAGCTTGAATGGCCAGAGAAAGTTGTTTGCAGCTTTGAAGTTTTTGCCAACTGTATAGATTTCATGGATCAAGTCTTCCATGCAAATAATGCCATATTTTTCTGAAAATTAAAATGAACATCAGAAAATATTCAGCCTGCAAAATGTTCTCACTTGCTCATGAAAGGCATATTAAATATACTGAGTCTGGTTATTTTTACCATGCTCAAAATATTTCAACCTTCACATCCCGGCAGGTTCAGATATGAAATAAAGGAAATCTGTCAATCAAATAAATCTACAGCATCAGTAAAGGTAGTGTTCTGAGAACAAATGAAACTCTGAAGAACCAAGAAGAATAGGAACATTACTGTCTCTGGTGGACTTTAAAAAGAAATAAAATTCTGATTTGCTTTTGTTGTGCCTTCTCCCTAATGACAAGAGCAAGTTTTCTCTTCCAGGCAGCAAGAAGCCAGGCAGGAAAATCCCCCAAAAGCTGTAACTGGAGAACCATAAATAAAACAATACAGGTAGTCTTCGATTTATGACAATTGAGCCCAAAATTTCTGTTGCTGAGACAGTTAAGTGAATTTTGCTCCATTTTACAACTTTTCTTGCCACACTTAAGTTTAGAAATTATTTGAATTGGCACACTTTTCTAGGACTTAAACTTCTTCTACTTTTGAATCTCCCTGGGTGATTGCAGCAGAAGTGTTTTAACTAGAAATCTAGAGACCCCAGTGTGGATGACAGGGAGCCCAGTTCACCAGATCTCCTGTGCATATGCAACTACTCATCCTAGTAACAAGCCCACATGAAATACTGTATTTTTTGGACTATAAGATACTCTGAAGTATAAGGCGCACCTAGCTTTGGGAGGAAAACAAGGGGAAAAAAATATGCCTCCCAGCAATTTACCTCTTTGCAGCAAACAGCAAATAGCCTGGTCAGCGGTTAGATCAGCCTCCCGGAATATTGTCTATCAGCTGTTCCATGCTGTAGGGATAACCACCGCCCATCGCTGCTGCCACCTATCGCCGCCTCTGCACGCCATTTTCGGCCTCCGTGCATCCCGTTTTTGGCCTTCGCACGTCCCATTTTTTGCCCTGTTCCAGGCAGCAGGGATTGCCTATCCTCACTGCTTGGAACAGGCCAAAAACAGGACGCACAGAGGCTGAAAATGGGGCGCGTAGAAGCGGTGGTAGGTGGCAGCAGCGATGGGTGGAGACGATCCCTGCAACCTGGAACAGCTGATAGGCGGTATTCTGGGAGGCCGATCCAACCGCCAATCACCCGCTTGTGCTAAATCAGGCTGTGCTGAAGCTGACCAGGCTGTTTGCTGTAAGGAGGTAAATTGCTGGGAGGCAGAGGCTGGCGAGTGGGCCGAGCTTCGGCAACATTTGTTGTATAAGACACACAGACATTTCCACCCACTTTTTGTAGAAATCAGAGGTATTCTATCAGTAAATTAAAAACTGATCATAACTATCAATGTTCCAATCAGACCATGCTAGTTGAAGGATGTAGCCTTTGCTTGTTCTTATATGAAACGGAAAAGTCCTGTACTTACTACAGCAAAAACAAGCCAGAGTCCCCAGGTGAAGCAATATTCTAGGCACTTGACCCTCTGACAAACCATCTGCTCAGTACTTTACTTTT